AGTAAAATACTACAAACTCACTCACAATAAATCAGTAAAATACTACAAACTCACTATCAACTACTCAGAATCATAAAATGACAATTAGGCAATCAAACGCTATCATTTATATTCAATCGGTTAAATACTATAAATAAAAAACAAAAATAAACAATAATTTTACAAGCAATCAGCCAAACATTATAATTTATATTCAGTCAGCTAAAACGATTTACAATTAGTCGGCTAAACAAAATAATTTACAAGCACCCAGCTGAATAAATTTACAATGTGCTGAATAAAAAAATAATTTACAATCAGTCAGTTAAATAATTTACAATCAATCAGTGAAATCAATAATTTAAAACACTTGGTATTTACATTACAAAATATACCATAAAGATAACTGAGTAGATGCAGGTGACATATCATAGCATCGAATCACATTTTACACAATCAGTCAAATGAACAATCACGTGATTTACAATCAGTCAGTCAGATGAACAATCATGTAATAAATAAAGTATTACACAATCAAGCAGTAACCATCCATGAACAGTAGTAATGCAAACATATTCACGGATCAATCAATCATTCATCATCAATTTCCACCTTTGCTGTTAAACAGTCCAGTGCTTGATGGGCATCAATGGCCACTGTCATTCCGTGTCGACGTAGAAGCTCTGTAATGTCCATGTTGCCCTAGAACCGCCTCTTGCTTTCACTTCAAATCTTTTCATGTGTAGCGCTTGTGTTAGGTAGCTGTTCTGGCTGCAATCTTACTAAATGACCAAATCATCTGATCTTCTGTTCAGTCTGTCTGATATGATTTCTAACTTTGTCTCGGATGGTTAAGTTGGCCACTTTTCTCTGGCATCTCGTTTCAAAGGTGTTAATTTTATGTAGGTTAGCCTTTGATAATGTCCAAGTCTGGCACTGGTAGCACAGTATTGTTAGGAATATGTTGTTTATAATTTGTTTCTTGGTGCTCATACTTATGTTTGGATGTCTTAATAACGGACGTCAGATGGTATACAAGTGCATTGGCTCATTGGCATCTTGTTTTTATTTCCCGATCTATTCTTCCGTCCTCTGAGAATATACTTTGTAGATATTTAAATTCTTTAACTTGCTTCATATCATTAAAAAAATAAAAAGAGGAATTAAAAAGAAGATTAAAAAATATTTAAAATGAAAAAGATTAAAATAATCCCGCAAACAAAATGTCTATAAACTGTACTTACTGTACAAGTCAACTTCAAATCTGTAAGCTGAATATTCCGAGCCTGGCTTGTACCTACCTGATACATTTTACACCCGCTATGTCAGTGACAACTTGTTTCTGACAAATTTCGTAAGGCTTGAAAACTCAACTTATATGCAGCAATTGATGATACATGACTGATTAACCACCAAATGAAAGTAGAACAGTACAGATTCGCGTGATTCATCACCCAAGCAGCAAAACAAACAATTTAAAAAAAATTAAAAAATTATAAAAAATGGCTAACCAGTAAAACCAGCTTGGCAAATGGGCCATGTCTACACAGAATAAAAAAACCTGAGAGAGATGTGAAACATCATAAACATGCATCAACAACAAATGTGGAATTTAAATGAACAGAAATACTGAACTGGCTGCCATAGTTCAGACATGTGGTTATGTGCGAACAAGCGTATATACATAGGACACATACTGAGCCTATAAATGTTCTCTGTAACAAGTATGTTGAATTGATCTTGTCTGTGTTTGCTCGTCTTCTACTGAAGATCACTCAAGAATCTTCTTCTTTCTTCTTTGTGTTCACTAGCTGTATACACTGGCGGATATGTCAGTAACATTTTGAGAGGGGGGGCAGAGGTTTTGCAGTAGATCTCTCCCCCCCCCCCCCCCCCCCCAAACCCACATAATGGATGGATCTACAATGTTACATGAAACAACATGTATGAGGATGTGTGCATTTGGAATTCCATATGCATCCAGAAAGAAGGGACGTATGGGAGGAAGTGTACGATGTGTGTAAAACCAGTGTGCTACTGAAACAGTCGGCACCTACACCATAAGACATTTGCTGTGGTAGATGGACTGTTGCCATCGACTGTGCAGGTTTTTGCCTTCCACAGATTTAAAAAAAAAAAAAAAAATACCCAGCAATACCGAGGATTCAAACCCAGGTCTCCTGCGTTCTTAACTGTTCGGCCAGCTTTTACTCTAATTAAAGAACCAATATGCAAATGTCCTGAATCAATTCAAACCCCAACCACACGCTTGAAGCCCGACTAGCCAGCTAACTAATCAACTAACGACAAGTCATCCTATCCTATGTTATCTGTATGCAGCCCACGTTCTCCCTTTTTGTTAACTTCACTTTCTAGCTAGCCGCTCAGTGTGGTTTTGGTCAGCCTTTATTTCAATGCCTCTATGGGTTTCAGGATAAAGACATTCTAGTTATACTATTCTCAGGTTTTCTCAACGTCTGCCCTATCCACTGCCAGCGTCTTTTTTAACTTCTTGATTTCACTGGAATTTGTTTAGTTCTCACCCAAAGCTCCACAGCAGTGATTCTCTCATACAATTTAATCCCCTCTAGTGATCTCAGTTACATAAACAGTTTCAGCTGTAACAATCCAACTGTCCCAAGTATTATTCTGTCACAGAATCTCTACAAGTGAAAATCAGCATCTGACAATATTCTGTCCTCTTTTTAAACAACCATCCTACTTGTTTTTCTGTATGTCGTCCATGTATTCCTTGCCTTATCCTTATCCTCGTCATCGGGTGCCTTGCTGACTGGCGTGGGCCATCATGCCTCTCCATAATCCAAGATCTCCTGCAGCATGTATCAGTTCGTGTGCCGACACAACTTCATGCCATGCAACAAGACTGTCAAGAATCTTCTCACGTTGTCTTCCTTTATCCCTCCTTCCACAGATCTTTCCAGTGGTCACAACATGTTCTATTTTCTCTCTTCTCATAACATGGCTGAAAAATGATGACTGTCTCCTTCTGATGTCTGTGATAAGTTGTCTTCAGGCTCCCGCCTCTTTCAAAACCTCTTGGTTGCTCTTTTTGGCTGTCCAAAGTATTCTAAGCATTCTTCTGTAAAACCACATCTCTGAGGCCTCAAGAAATTGTTTGGCCTGCCTACCGATTGTCCAGGATTCACAGCGATATGTTAAAACTGGATGTATGTAGCTAGCAAGAATTCTTTTTCTAACTCTTAATGACAAAGATATATTGCACAAGATATTTTTCATTTTATAAAATGCCATTTTTGCCTGTCCTATTCTGTTTCTTATTTCAGTTATGCATCTTCCATCTGATGTTATCCATGTGCCCAGATACTTACATTTCTGTACTTGTCCTAAAATAACACCATCTACTTTTATTACACATTTAGGAATAATTCACTTCTTTGATAGCACCATTACTTCTGTCTTCCCATTATTCAAACTAAGGCCCATTCTTCCACTTTCTAACACCACAATGACTATCATTTCCTGTAATTCGTTCTGACTTGTTGCTATCAAGACTGTGTCATCAGCATAACGTAAATTGTTTATATTGTGCCTTATCCTAGATATTACATTTCACATATGCAATCACCATCAAGTGCCTTGCTTATGGTAAGGATGATCAAGTGTCGCACTCTGTTATTTCCAACGACATGTACCTGTTCATGTCACGACAGCCTGCTATGCCAAGCCAAAAGGCCATCACGAATTGTCCCTGGCCGTCTTCCTCTATTTCTCTTTACAAACATCTTTCCTCCTATCACATCAGTTTTTCTTTTTTTTGTTTTTTTAATGCAACTAAAACAATGCCTTAGCCATCTTAGTCTTGTCCTGTTGTCACACACAGGGCTCGTAGATCAGACCTCCTTTCCAATCTATCCTGTACAATCCATTCAATATGGCGGGAATCCAGTCCAGCACCTTTGGCCTCTCTATCAACTTTCATTATAGAGTTTCTTTTGGATGTCCTTGCTTCCGCGATCCCTTTATTTCTCATTTCAGTGCCTGCTAGGTGATTCTCTGCTACCTCTCAGGATGTGTCCAATAGACCATCATTCTCTTTGTCTTACAACTGTTACTACCAGCGGTTACCCAGACATCTCTGATTTCTTCTCCCCTCTTGAATTCACTCCATGCTGGGCCCAATATTTTCCCCAGGCATTAGTTTTCAAATGCGTTTAACTTGCGTGCCATGACATTAATGGTTCTCCAACTGTCACTAGCATATTTTAAAACTGAAATAAAACAATAAAACTGAAATAAAACATTAACACTGAAATAAAACATTAAAACTGAAAAATGTAACTTGCTTTTAAAACTATAAAATTTAAAATTCTCAATTTTGTCCAGGCTTTAAAAAACTATTGATGCCATCTTAGGTTCATTCAAAATATCTAGATGACATACAAAATATCTAGATGACATTCAAAATATCTAGATGACATACAACATATCTAGATGACATACAAAATATCTAGATGACATTCAAAATATCTAGATGACATTCAAAATGTCTAGATGACATACAAAATATCTAGATGACATACACAGTTGAAAGCATTGTAGGCATTCCTCTGTAAAACCTCCAGATATTTTCTGGCTTGTTTATCCAGAAGTCACAGCCACAAGTTAAAACTGGAGTCCTGCTGTATGTAGGAGTTGTTTCTAAGCTCCAATGACAGGGATTTACTGCACCACGTGTTCTTCTCTCCATAAAGTGTAGGTTTTTGTTTGTCCTAGTGTGTTATACTTTCTCACACAGATATACAACAAGCCTAGCAAGTGGCACGTGGATCCCTGCCAACTGTGATGTATTAATGATCTTTCTACGCTGAAGCAGAGGCCTCCGGCCCGTGACAATCTCTATCACAGGTATTTGGGCTCCTCAGTAAGCTTAGTTGAATAGCCCTAATAAACACAAATGAAGACCCAACTCAACTATTTGGTATTCATTAATAAACATCTGTGTGCTATGACAGACTAGACTAGTGTGTTCTATGATGAAGTTACTCTAGCAGACTGCCCTCAACCAACTGTCTGTAGTTGACTCTCTTCTTGTTCCTGGGTCCGACACAAACTGGGGAACTGTCCTCAAACTTCTTATCTGTAGCCTGCGACTGGGAATAAAGATAACATGCAGATAACTGATGTATGGTTGTATAACTGATGTATGGTCGGGTAACTGATGTATGGTTGGGTAACTGATGTATGGTTGTATAACTGATGTATGGTTGTATAACTGATGTATGGTTGTATAACTCATGTATGGTTGTATAACTGATGTATGGTTGTGTAACTGATGTATGGTTGGGTAACTGATGTATGGTTGGGTAACTGATGTATGGTTGGGTAACTGATGTATGGTTGGGTAACTGATGTATGGTTGGATAACTGATGTATGGTTGGATAACTGATGTATGGTTGTATAAATGATGTATGGTTGTATAACTGATGTATGGTTGTATAACTGATGTATGGTTGTATAACTGATGTATGGTTGTATAACTGATGTATGGTTGGGTAACTGATGTATAGTTGGATAACTGATGTATAGTTGGATAACTGATGTATGGTTGGGTTACTGATGTATGGTTGGGTTACTGATGTATGGTTGGGTAACTGATGTATGGTTGTATAACTGATGTATGGTTGTATAACTGATGTATGGTTGGATAACTGATGTATGGTTGGATAACTGATGTATAGTTGGATAACTGATGTATGGTTGGATAACTGATGTATAGTTGGATAACTGATGTATAGTTGGATAACTGATGTATAGTTGGATAACTGATGTATAGTTGGGTAACTGATGTATAGTTGGATAACTGATGTATAGTTGGATAACTGATGTATAGTTGGATAACTGATGTATGGTTGTATAACTGATGTATGGTTGGATAACTGATGTATGGTTGGATAACTGATGTATAGTTGTATAACTGATGTATAGTTGTATAACTGATGTATGGTTGGATAACAGATGTATAGTTGGGTAACTGATGTATAGTTGTATAACTGATGTATAGTTGTATAACTGATGTATAGTTGGGTAACTGATGTATAGTTGGATAACTGATGTATAGTTGGATAACTGATGTATGGTTGGATAACTGATGTATGGTTGGAAAACAGATGAATGGTTGGATAACTCATGTATTGTTGGATAACTGATGTATGGTTGTATAACTGATGTATCATTGGATAACTGATGTATTGTTGGATAACTGATGTATGGTTGGAAAACTGATGTATGGTTGGATAACTGATGTATGGTTGGATAACTGATGTATGGTTGGATAACTGATGTAAGGTTGTATAACTGATGTATCATTGGATAACTGATGTATTGTTGGATAACTGATGTATCATTGGATAACTGATGTATGGTTGGAAAACGTGTGGTAAATATAACAGATGCACATCATATTGTACACAGCTGGGCAGCAATCAGTGTGAGCTACACATTAAGCAAAACTAACAGAACAAATTATATATGCTAATTCACCACACACACACAGGAACTTTATGTCTGAACATTTATCTACCTTCTACAGCAACGACTGTTGATGACCCACTGTACCAACATGCTACAAACAAATCCAGCCAGTCTCCCATACCTCATCTCAACCACACCTGTCTCCCATACCTCATTGCAACTCAGCCAGTCTCCCATACCTCACCTCAACCCAATCAGTCTCCCATACCTTATCTCAACACAACCACCAGTCTCCCACACCTAATCTCAACACAACCACCAGTCTTCCACACCTCACCTTAACCCAATCAGTCTCCCATACCTCATTTCAACACAACCACCAGTCTCCCATCCAGTACCTCAACCTAATCTGTCTCCCATATCTCATCTCAACACAACCACCAGCCTCCCACACCTCATCTCAACACAACCACTAGTCTCCCACACCTCATCTCAACACAACCACCAGTCTCCCATACCTCACCTCAACACAATCAGTCTCCCACACCTCATCTCAACACAACCACCAGTCTCCCACACCTCACCTACCATTCTGTTCCTGACATGCCTAGGAATATCCTCAGCCTCTGTCCACATGTCCTCTCTGGTGACCTGCCGCTGGCAGCCATTCTCAAACTCCACCTGGGGTACAACAGGCAGACACTTATCTACTAATCACATGACACCATTGTGTATACAACAGGCAGACACTTATCTACTAATCACATGACACCATTGTGTATACAACAGGCAGACACTTATGTACTAATCACATGACACCATTGTGTATACAACAGGCAGACACTTATCTACTAATCACATGACACCATTGTGTATACAACAGGCAGACACTTATCTACTAATCACATGACACCATTGTGTATACAACAGACAGACACTTATCTACTAATCACATGACACCATTGTGTATACAACAGGCAGACACTTATCTACTAATCACATGACACCAATGTGTAAGTCAAAGGGTCCCATGGGGAAAAGCAACAGACCCACTGTCTCTGTGGCAAATGGTGTCTAATTAGGAGCCGGCTTCTTTATCTGTGTGTTCACAAGCTGTACATTCTAATGAAAACATTCTGGTTGTTTGTCCACTTCTGGACTTTGGTCCTGCTCCAGAACCTAAGTTTTTGCTTGCACATACATGCTGCTGATTTGACTTATTTGTCTGCAGGGGACTGTTGGTACCTTGCCTCTGAGGAGGCAGATGCACTCTGCCTTCGAAGGAAGAGATTTTGTTGCTCAAATTTAATGTACTGGGTCAGAAGGTGAAGATATCACAGCCAATCTGTAATTAACAATACACTGTGCTACCCATTCTTATAAGGGTGAAGGCCGAAGAAGATGACCTTAAAAAGCCAAGCTCTGAAAAAACTAAATCTAGTCATGTCTGGCTGTGAGACAGTCCCTAAATCCTGATATATACGGCCATGTCTCCTCTGAGACAGTCCCCTAAATCCTGATATATACGGCCATGTCTGGCTGTGAGACAGTCCCCTAAATCCTGATATATACGGCCATGTGTCCTCTGAGACAGTCCCCTAAATCCTGATATATACGGCCATGTCTCCTCTGAGACAGTCCCCTAAATCCTGATATATACGGCCATGTCTCCTCTGAGACAGTCCCCTAAATCCTGATATATACGGCCATGTCTCCTCTGAGACAGTCCCCTAAATCCTGATATATACGGCCATGTCTCCTCTGAGACAGTCCCCGAAATCCTGATATATACAGCCATGTCTCCTCTGAGACAGTCCCCTAAATCCTGATATATACGGCCATGTCTCCTCTGAGACAGTCCCCTAAATCCTGATATATACGGCCATGTCTCCTCTGAGACAGTCCCCTAAATCCTGATATATACGGCCATGTCTCCTCTGAGACAGTCCCCTAAATCCTTATATATACGGCCATGTCTCCTCTGAGACAGTCCCCTAAATCCTGATATATACGGCCATGTCTCCTCTGAGACAGTCCCCTAAATCCTGATATATACGGCCATGTCTCCTCTGAGACAGTCCCCGAAATCCTGATATATACGGCCATGTCTCCTCTGAGACAGTCCCCTAAATCCTGATATATACGGCCATGTCTCCTCTGACCTGTTCTTGAAAAGCATAGTTTAATTCTATTAGCCATATGTGATAAGTCAGCTTTTATGACTTCCTTGTTAGTGGTCAGTGGGTCTATTATCCCCTTCCCCCCCTTTCCAAAATGGGACTCCAGAACCCATATGAGGAGCGTACTGATAATTGTGTTAAACTTTCCTCTGAAGGGCAGCCAACCCATAATTTTTCAGAGTATGGAAACACCAACCGTATACAGCAGCATCATCATCAATTGACCTGGGCAATGACTCTCCATAACTGGAAACTTCAAACAGAATCTGTCCATTTGTATATTGATTTGTGTAAGTGTCAAGAGGAAAGTTGTTAGCAATCACTTCTCACTGTTTGTCTCTTTTTCCCTGTCACAGATCATTCTAGTTGTTACAGTAATTATTTCCCTGTCACAAATCATTCTAGTTGTTACAGTAATTATTTCCGTGCCACAAATCATTTCAGTAGTTACTGTAATCATTTCCCTGTCACAGATCATTCCAGCTGTTACAGTATTTATTTCCCTGTCACAAATCATTCCAGTTGTTACAGTAATTATTTCCCTGTCACAGATCATTCCAGCTGTTACAGTAATTATTTCCCTGTGACAAATCATTCCAGTTGTTTCAGTAATTATTTCCCTGTCACAGATCATTCCAGCTGTTACAGTAATTATTTCCCTGTCACAGATCATTCCAGCTGTTACAGTAATTATTTCCCTGTCAAAGATCATTCCAGTTGTTACAGTAATTATTTCCCTGTCACAGACCATTCCAGTTGTTACAGTAATTATTTCCGTCACAGATCATTCCAGTTGTTACAGTAATTATTTCCCTGTCACAGATGATTCCAGTTGTTACAGTAATTATTTCCCTGTCACAGATGATTCCAGCTGTTACAGTAATTATTTCCCTGCCACAGATCATTCCAGTTGTTTCAGTAATTATTTCCCTGTCACAGATCATTCCAGCTGTTACAGTAATTATTTCCCTGTCACAGATCATTCCAGCTGTTACAGTAATTATTTCCCTGTCACAGATCATTCCAGTTGTTACAGTAATTATTTCCCTGTCAAAGATCATTCCAGTTGTTACAGTAATTATTTCCCTGTCACAAATCATTCCAGTTGTTACAGTAATTATTTCCCTGTCACAAATCATTCTAGTTGTTACAGTAATTATTTCCGTGCCACAAATCATTTCAGTAGTTACTGTAATCATTTCCCTGTCACAGATCATTCCAGTTGTTACAGTAATTATTTCCCTGTCACAAATCATTCCAGTTGTTACAGTAATTATTTCCCTGTCACAGATCATTCCAGCTGTTACAGTAATTATTTCCCTGTGACAAATCATTCCAGTTGTTTCAGTAATTATTTCCCTGTCACAGATCATTCCAGCTGTTACAGTAATTATTTCCCTGTCACAGATCATTCCAGCTGTTACAGTAATTATTTCCCTGTCAAAGATCATTCCAGTTGTTACAGTAATTATTTCCCTGTCACAGACCATTCCAGTTGTTACAGTAATTATTTCCCTGTCACAGATCATTCCAGTTGTTACAGTAATTATTTCCCTGTCACAGATGATTCCAGTTGTTACAGTAATTATTTCCCTGCCACAGATCATTCCAGCTGTTACAGTAATTATTTCCCTGTCACAGATCATTCCAGTTGTTACAGTAATTATTTCCCTGTCACAGATCATTCCAGTTGTTACAGTAATTATTTCCCTGTCAAAGATCATTCCAGTTGTTACAGTAATTATTTCCCTGTCACAAATCATTCCAGTTGTTACAGTAATTATTCTCCTGTCACAGATCATTCCAGTTGTTACAGTAATTAGTTTCCCTGTCACAAATCCTTCCAGTTGTTACAGTAATTATTTCACATAAAAGATATTATTACAGAAACCTGTCTATCAAATTACAGTCACCTTTTAAAAAATTTTTTAAAAGATATGAGAAGACAACATTTTTCAGTAAAATACTAAAAGTGAACTGGATAAAATAAAAATGCGCACGTCAACACTAGCTTTCTACAGAAAACATCAGGAGATATTGGATAAATAGTTTTTCTTGAATATAATGCTGAATTTGAAGGATAAACACGTGCTAAAGATTTATCAAATTTAAAACACTTACAGTGTACATGTCTTGTAAGTTGATATCACGCACAGTTGCCCCATACATCAGTCCATCATGCCACAGTACATGAACATGTTCTCCTGGTCTGTGTTCTCCGCTGACAAACCCGTCCTGTCCCTGCAATTAAGCCGTGTGTATGATAAAAGCACTTGAAGACAAAATGCTGTTTTGTCACTGTGATAAAGCTGTGTGTGTATGTCAAAAGACTTGAAGACAAAATGCTGTTTTGTCACTGTGATAAAGCCGTGTGTGTAGGCTGAAAGCACTTGAAGACAAAATGCTGTTTTGTCCTTGTGATAAAGCCATGTGTATGCTGAAAGTACTTAGAGACAAAATGCTGTTTTGTTTCTGTGATAAAGCTAAAATGCGGACAATTCCAGTTATGGATTTCCTAACTGCAATGACAGACACAACCCAACACCTCCAGCAACTGCAATGACAGACACAACCCAACACCTCCAGCAACTGCAAAAAAAAAAATTTTTTTTTAAATTTGCCAGGTGCTGGTCGCGAGGATTAGAGTAACTTCCCTTGCCATTCGTGCCTAATTAGATCGCTGGAACTCTTCTATGCTGTAGAAAAGTCATGTCTTCCTTATTGTGAATGCTTTAACAGTTGCCTTTATTTCTCGTCGTCTCATCGCTCGCTTGTGTGATTATTTTCACGGTCTGCTAACTCTGCGACAGTTGGGGAGTATGGAAACGGCGACATTGTCCTAGTCCTACGCTCCATATAACTGCTTTCTGTCTCTCCAGAGAATCCACACACTGACAGACTGGGATCAAATGAAGAGTGCAGTACAACAGCCAGAGAATCCACACAGACTGGGATCAAATGAAGAGTGCAGTACAACAGCCAGAGAATCCACACAGACTGGGATCAAATAAACAGTGCAAAAAAAAAAAACAGCCAGAGAATCCAGACATTGACAGACTGGGATCAAATAAACAGTTCAGTCAGTACAACAGCCAGAGAATCCAGACACTGACAGACTGGGATCAAATAAACAGTGCAGTACAACAGCCAGAGAATCCACATACTGATAGACTGGGATCAAATAAACAGTTCAGTAGAACAGCCAGAGAATCCGCACACTGACAGACTGGGATAAAATAAATAGTTCAGTAGAACAGCCAGAGAATCCACACACTGACAGACTGGGATCAAATAAACAGTTCAGTAGAACAGCTAGAGAATTTACACACTGACAGACTGGGATCAAATAAACAGGGCAGTACAACAGCCAGAGAATCCACACACTGACAGACTGGGATCAAATAAACAGAACAACAGCCAGAGAATCCACACACAGACAGACTGGGATAAAAAAAACAGTTCAGTAGAACAGCCAGAGAATCCACAAACTGACAGACTGGGATCAAATAAACAGTTCAGTAGAACAGCCAGAGAATCCACACACTGACAGACTGGGATTAAATAAACAGTGCAGAAAAACAGCCAGAGAATCCAGACACTGACAGACTGGGATCGAATAAACAGTGCAGTACAACAGCCAGAGAATCCACACACTGATAGACTGGGATCAAATAAACAGTTCAGTAGAACAGCCAGAGAATCCACACACAGACAGACTGGGATAAAATAAACAGTGCAGTAAAACAGCCAGAGAATCCACACACAGACTGGGATAAAATAAACAGTGCAGTAAAACAGCCAGAGAATCCACACACTGACAGACTGGGATAAAAAAAACAGTTCAGTAGAACAGCCAGAGAATCCACACACTGACAGACTGGGATCAAATAAACAGTGCAGTAAAACAGCCAGAGAATCCACACACAAACAGACTGGGATCAAATAAACAGTGCAGAAAAACAGCCAGAGAATCCACAAACTGACAGACTGGGATCAAATAAACAGTTCAGTAGAACAGCCAGAGAATTCACACACTGACAGACTGGGATCAAATAAACAGTTCAGTAGAACAGCCAGAGAATCCACACACTGACAGACTGGGATCAAATAAACAGTGCAGTAAAACAGTCAGAGAATCCACACACAAACAGACTGGGATCAAATAAACAGAACAACAGCCAGAGAATCCACACACAGACAGACTTGGATCAAATAAACAGAACAGCCAGAGAATCCACACACAGACAGACTGGGATCAAATAAACAGTGCAGTAAAACAGCCAGAGAATCCACACACAGACAGACTGGGATCAAATAAACAGAACAACAGACAGAGAATCCACACACTGACAGACTGGGATCAAATAAACAGTACAACAAACAGAGAATCAACACACAGACAGACTGGGATCAAATAAACAGAACAACAGACAGAGAATCCACACACAGACAGACTGGGATCAAATAAACAGAACAACAGACAGAGAATCCACACACAGACAGACTGGGATCAAATAAACAGAACAACAGACAGAGAATCCACAGACAGACACTGGGATCAAATAAACAGTACAACAGACAAAGAATCCACAGACAGACAGACTGGGATCAAATCAACAATACAACAGACAGAGAATCCACAGACAGACAGACTGGGATCAAATAAACAGAACAACAGACAGAGAATCCACACACAGACAGACTGGGATCAAATAAACAGAAAAACAGACAGAATCCACAGACAGACTGGGATCAAATAAACAGTACAACAGACAGAGAATCCACAGACAGACTGGGATCAAATAAACAGAACAACAGACAGAGAATCCACACACAGACTGGGATCAAATAAACAAACAGAACCACAGACAGACAGACAGAATCCACACACAGACAGACAAATTCAACGTGGAGTGAGTAGAGGTTCTGGAAGATATACAACACTGAGGGGGAAACAAAAGTGGATTTTTAATTTGATTGCAACTGATACTATAAACATGTCAACTCTTCACTGGCTACTGAAGAAGGGGATGTAGCATGTGTGGAAATGTCCCGAGTGTGGTGATGTCAGTTCTTAATTCATTTATTCAAGCAATATTTAAAATTAAAAAAAACTGCAACATGCCTTAATTAGCTTCTATACCTGAATATCCCCTGGCAGTATATTCTGGCTGTAAGTCCCATCATCAAAGTCCACAACAAACAGCTTCCGTTTGGTCACACCAACAACCTTCCCCCAGTAGAACCTGGTGTTCTTGTGTTTGGCAACAACCCTATCTCCTGCACTGACCACCGAGAGCTTCCGAGGATGTCTGGTCCGTTTGCTGGGCCCAGATAAATGCTTCAGACAGGTGACATAAACTGGGGCCGGCCAGGCACTGACCTCAAACTTGATGCCAGCATGATAAGCACAGGTAACATGGAAGGAGGTCATACACCTGCCCACGGAGCACTGGACGCAGGCTGTCCTGTGACTGATGCTGGTGGCTACACAAGTGCACAGGCTGCATTTCTGGAACAAAGAAAACATCAACAGCATCTGTCACTGCAGCTTCAGCAGATTGTATTTTGTACACACTCCATGTTGGGAATGCGTGTGGGGTTAGAAACCTGATGGTAAATCAAATGAGTAACCTAGTACAGTACAATCTACAACAAGAAAGCTAAACGGAGGAAAAGGAAAAGACACACACCAATACAAGTGAAAATTACAATCATAGTCTTTTTCAACAGAAAAATCCCCATGTGGATATTCAGGTCCAATTTGGGAAGGAACAAGTACAGACCCACTGCACCCCTAACATGCATGTCATAAAAGGCAATTAGTGAGGGGTCGGCTCAGGCTGGAAGGCGCAGATAATGCAGTCAAGCTGTAAGTCACAACACAATGAACCACTGTTCTTTAAAGGGCGACTGTAGAAGAATAGACAATACGAAAGAAAGTGAGAAAAGGGGGGAGGGAGAGAGAAAGAGGGAGGGAGAGAGAGAGAAATAGAGACAGAGAGAGTGAGAGAGAGAGAGAGAGGGGAGGAGAGAGAGAGAGAGAGAGGGGGAGGAAGGGAGGGAGGGAGAGAGAGAGAGGTGGGAGGGAGGGAGAGAGAAATAGAGACAGAGAGAGTGAGAGAGAGAGAGGGGGGAGGGGAGGGGAGAGAAAGAGAGAGAGGGGGGGAGAGAAGAGAGATAGAGAGAGAGAGAGAGAGAGAGAGAGAGAACAAAATCATGAACAAGATGGGAAATACTCACCAACTTATACCTGGCAGCACTAATGCTGGAGATGTTGATGGGTGACCGATGTCTGACATCAGTAAAGACAGCTTCAGTGACAGTCAGTGCACAAACAATATGTGCCCAGTGTCCATCTGTTGTACGCTGGAGGGCACCGCCGTATAAACAGCACAGGTAGCAGATCTGTCATGGAAATATAGACATCAAAATCATGTGTCATGATGTAAGTACAATCATTCACTCAGCTCACATGACTTCTAGTGCCCAGAGTCTGATATAAAATCTTGTCATTTTTATGCCATAGGACAAGTCATTCAGGTTTATCAATCCCACTTCTGAGAATATTCTTCTTCTTCTTGGCGTTCCGTTTCTTATGCTCAGGTCAAACCATCAGTTGGGGGGCCTCTATGAACTTGCATGTCAGCTGCATGTCCTCTATAGCTCAGGTGTTTGGGGCTGAGGTCAGGACTCCAGTCGCGTGACCTAGACTCGAGTCCGACTGAAGTCGTATAATTATTGACTTACGACTCGACGTGAGGTTTTGTTCAGTGCTTGCAACTTGTGACTAGTAGCTTGAATGACTTGATACGACTCGTTATTTTGTGGCCAGTCTCAGTGAGGTAGGTTTGGTGATCTACATCACAATTTAAAATGTCTTCATTTAAAACAGAAAGGAATAAATTCTGTTTTGATTTATTAAGCTTTCACATTTCTTCTGCTTTTTATTTAACTGAGACAGTTTATCACAATGCCATTTCCAGTTTGGTATTGTCAACATATTTTGACTGAAATTTATGTTTTCTAGTAAATTTAAATAACTGTGCATGACGTGATATGTGAAGTGACTTGACTCTGAACTAAACTTGAAAGCTTTCTTGGTGACCTGAGACTTGGGGAATTTCACAACCAAGCAAGAAAGAAAGAAAGAAAGAAAGAAAGAGAGAGAGAGAGAGAGAGAGAGAGAGAGAGAGAGAGAGAGAGAGAGAGAGATACACACAGAGAGAAAGAGAGAGAGAGACAGACAGACAAACATAGAGAGACACAGAGAGAGAGAGAGAGTGTGTCGATACCTACCACAGATTGTGGACTAGTGGCCGCGGACTGGCAAGCACAGCAGGTCCAGTCCTGGGACAAGTCTGTGTCCAGCTCACCATAACAACCTAGGAAAACAACAATAGAAATAAAATAAGTCATCAACCCTAGCCATCGTTACCAGTGTACAGATCATCAGTGCATTTGCTGAAACAGGCCCATCTGACATGTCAGCTTCCTGTTCTCAAACATTAAATGATGTCATACAGCTGGGCTACCTCTTGTCATTATTGCATCTAATCATATAAATACAGTATCTAGTCTGAACCATAGGTCTTTATTCAAATATTTTATTGCATCAAAAATTTGGTAGCATTTAATGTTCTTCTTCATTACCCTGCTGACAACTCTAGTGGAAAGTTCTGGTCGTTCGTCCACTTCTGGAAAAGTTATATACTCCTTACGTCCTTCTTAGGACGTAATTTTTTGTTATTTGAAGCCCCACTCTGGCTTTTGCCAGGGGCCGCAATATAGGCAGGCCATCAATATGGCCAATTGTCTGAACGCGGTTTCTGGGACCTCTCCACGGTGATCCTCATCCGCATGGTGGCACTTTGTGTCATCGGGTGTTTGTCGCTTGTGTGATGTCCTAGTGGGGTAGAAAGTCAGTCAGTCAGTCGACTTCTGGACTTTAGTCTTGTTCTAGAACTTGATTTTTGCATGCACATCTATTTTACAGATCTGGCTTTTTTGTATGCAGACTACTGGTTCCTTGCCTCTCAGGCAGATGCACTCCAACTAAAGGAAAAACCCAAATTAGTCAAATCTTATGACATTTGTTTGGGAGGCCATGTGAGTCTATCCCCCCCCCCCCCCCCCCACACAATGGGGCCCCAGAACTGATAAAGGGATTATTTTATCTTAACTACAGAACATTTTCTAAAATTCCAACTAATCCAACAACTGTAGGTGGGCAATTACATTACAAATGTCACGTACTTGTGCAGTATTATGTGTACAATGCCGGCATTCATGACTGACTGACCGCATCAACAGTCAGCTGCAATTCTGGTTTAGGACTATTAGTGTTGGCATACCTGACAGCTGCCTTAGGTATTTACTATGCACATGCCAGCCTCACAATTTTAGCTGTGACTATTTTCAAATGGGGCAGTGATAGATATTTGCTGTAATTTCCACTGTCATAGGAGGGGAGTTGTTATGGAGTTGCCCATCTACAGTGAAGCTGGAACCTGGACCAACAACCGACCTAATCTAAACCACAAGTCTTCATACAACTGTAGTATAATATGAACCATAGCGTATGTCGTAAAATTGCTATATATAACTAGAACTATGGGTCGTTGATAAAATTATTTTAAACAAGAAAATGTGTTATATTACAGGAGTTGGTATGTTTGTAACACCATCAGAAAAGCATATGGCAACAATAACTTACTGGCATGGACACAAACACCGCATTTTGTGCAACGGAGAAGAGCACTGCATCCCTCAGCATCCACACTCGTGTTGTCACAAACTGGTGTCTTGTTGGAAGCACTTACAGCAAACAAGTTCTCTGGAATCCAAGGCACAGTTCTTGCTGGTACCTCCACATGACCAGGGTCTGCAGTGAAAACATCTGTCTGCTTCTGGGGCTGTTGAGAGAATATCAAATTACTTTAACACACAATGAACCATAAGAATAATTTGCATGTGACATCTTTTGCATGTTGAACTTCACCTGTTCAAATGGCCATGTAGTCTACTCCTCTCAATGTAGAACAGGTGCTGATCATCTGCAAATAGTAGCTCATTTATTGTGTGTGGATTTATTTCTTCCTCTGGCAGGTACAGGTACCCATTTTCTGGGTAGAGTGCCTTATTTAGAGCTGGCTTCTTGAGATATTTTGTCTATGTATACATTTCATCTTGAGCTGAAATGCTCTAGAAAGATTCTCAGAATATCTTGGACAAAGAATAGGAGAAATACTGACATCTTGAAAGATCTGAACATCAAGAAAGATTGGCTAATAAACAGCATCCTTTCTTGGAAGCTGAAATATTTTGGTCATATCAAGCGCCACGACGGATTGGAAAAAATTATAGCAGAAGACACGGTACCAGGAAGGAGGGGCAGGGCCCGACTGACACGAAGATGGGGACAGGATATAAGTGACTCCTTGAGTATGAAAGTACATGAGGCGGGAGAACTAGCGAGAGACTGAGTTTCTTTCAGGCAGACTGTGATGAGAGCGACGTTCTGCAAAGGACCTGCTACATGATGATACATTAAATAAGAGAGGGGTGAGCACACATCCCTGCCTCACCCCTGTAAAGAATATATCCTGGCATTAAAAGGATCTAAGTGAAAAGGAGTAGATATGAGAGAACTAACTGGATTCCTCCAGGGCACTGGGTTGGAGTGAGACATGGAAGCATCTCAAAAACACACGGAGGAGATACAAGCAGCCCAAGTTGGTCACATACATGCTGTGCTAAATCATGACCTAGACAAACACAATAAAACCTTGTTAACACAAACTCCAATGGAGAGAAAAAAGAGTTTGTGTTAAAAGAAAATATGTTCTAACTTGAGACTAATAATACATACTGCTGGGACTACACTTTTGTTCATGTTAACTGGGTGTTGCTCTTAAGTGAGTGCGCATTGACAAGGTTTTACTGTATGAAGTTCCAGTACTGATCATCAATATCTTGTTGGTTTCTGCAGATAGACAGGGGGGAGGAGAGCCCAGCAACACAGTTCCTGCAGAGATGGTATTTTGTTAGCCAGACAGTGGTCAAGCTGTCTGCCTTGCACTCTGAAGCTCATGGGTTTGTTTCATAGATATGCCTTACAGTTCAAGAATGCATTTTTTATGGAGAGACCCAGGGACCATCGCTGGAATTATAAAATTTGTGCGACGGTCTCCGCTGAGGACAGCTGTTCTGCAGAGAAAGACCAAGCAATATGAGATAAAACTTGAAGTGCTATGAAGTCAACCCTCCAGGCTTTTACTTACATCTAACGGTTTACACAGACAGCAAATCCTTCATACTTACATCTAATGGTTCACACAGACAGCAAATCCTTCATACTTACATCTAATGGTTTACACAGACAGCAAATCCTTCATACTTACATCTAATGGTTCACACAGACAGCAAATCAATCATACTTACATCTAATGGTTCATACAGACAGCAAATCCTTCATACTTACATCTAATGGTTCACACAGACAGCAAATCCTTCATACTTACATCTAATGGTTCACACAGACAGCAAATCCTTCATACTTACATCTAATGGTTCACACAGACAGCAAATCAATCATACTTATATCTAATGGTTCACACAGACAGCAAATCCTTCATACTTACATCTAATGGTTCAAACAGACAGCAAATCAATCATACTTACATCTAATGGTTCACACAGACAGCAAATCCTTCATACTTACATCTAATGGTTCACACAGACAGCAAATCCTTCATACTTACATCTAATGGTTCACACAGATAGCAAATCAATCATACTTACATCTATTGGTTCACACAGACAGCAAATCCTTCATACTTACATCTAATGGTTCACACAGATAGCAAATCAATCATACTTACATCTAATGGTTCACACAGACAGCAAATCCTTCATACTTACATCTAATGGTTCACACAGACAGCAAATCAATCATACTTACATCTAAATGTTGAAACAGAGAGCAAATCAATCATACTTACATCTAATGGTTCACACAGACAACAAATCAATCATACTTACATCTAACTGTTGAAACAGGGAGCAAACTGAGCAGTGGGGTGGCAGTTGTGACATGATTCTGTTGTAGTACTGAATGGCACTGACATCACAAGGTCCACTCTGCCAGAGTCTGGTTAATGGTCTTGCCCACACGTGATCTTGTCCAGGCAATTTGAAAATGTGACTGTCTGTGTTTGCAGCTGCAACAATGAATGCAGGTGACCAGTCAACGAGAGATGTTTCATAACATAATGTAAATTGGTGAACAATGTCTGAAATATGCATGATGTTTGAGACATACAATGTTTTAGACATTATTCAGTGATGTTTTAGACATCTCCCCTATATAGAAGAGGTTAGTGTAATTAGAAATCCCCTCTCAAGTCTATCATGCAGTGGTGGAGTGGCTATGCACGTTGCCCTGACCCCTTGAGATCTGTATCTATTCTAAAGTTCTGGTTACAGTGTCTCAGATCTGGGAAGCCACATTTGTGCAGTGTCTGGCTAGACACTTCCCTCTTAACTCGAAGGTCTTGTGTTCACATCTGCACAGGCACATAGTGAAAAAATCATCTTGGCTCCCCAGCTGACTGTCTAAAATAGGGATCAAGAAATGCCACAGGCAGTACCCAGTGCTTTCTTCTAGAAAAAAATTTAAGGTGCCAGTACTCATCATAAAGGGTCAATGAAAGGTGCCGGCACTCACCATGAAGTGTCAATTAATGGTGCCGGTACTCACCACGCAATGTATTATAGCTGCGCTGACAAAATGATGCCTTAAGAAAAGTACCGGTACTGCTTACCACGAGAACAAAAGCCCTGATCTAACCTAACCATAAGAAAGCTCCTTGTTATATACGTGATGTAGTCAACTCAAACTACAGCAGAACTCTTCATAATAACTAAACTCTGTGCAACATGCATTTAACACCCTTATCTGAGAAAGCTGGGCGTGCTGTTGACTACCCAGGACCAGATAAAGTCCACCATTCTTAGGTTCCATATTTTCCTTATCATTGTGCAATACAGACATGAACAGTCAATTTACAAACTTTGAGCTGTGATGGACTGTAAAATGACTAACAAAAATAAACTGGAGCTAAGTTAACAAGTTAAACACAACATATTATACTGAGATTCATGCAGAAAAGTAATTTAGTGTAAATGTTAAACAACTGCTAAGGGTTTAATCTAAACCGTTTTTCTTTCAAGAAAAAGTAACTGGATCAAAAACAGAATGGAACACATGCTCATCTAACACACCGTCCATCTGCATGCACATTGGACCAGCAACCAATCTTCCCATGGAGAGATGACTGCAACAGATGCACCTCCAGTGTTCTTGTTTCTAACCCTTATCTTCTGGTGTTTATTATCCTTTCATTGCAAACATCTTTCTCATGTATACTTGACCTCTGACATATATTTCTTTCCACGTGTGTGTTCCAGGGATCCATGGGTTTTTTTTTTTGGGGGGGGGGGGGGGGGGGGGGGTTGTGTGCTTCCCTAACAAACATCTTGTAGAAGGTGACTAATTAGGAGTGTGTCCTTCAAAGTCATAGTGCATCTGCCAGAAAAGCCAGGAATAACAGTCTGCACGCAAATAAGCCAGATCTGTAAAATGGATATGCACACAAAACTGAAGTTATCGAACAAGACTGAAGTTAGAAGTGGATGAACAACCAGAACTTTCCAACACAGTCTAGAGCCGGTAAATGTTGAAGAGAAGCAGAAGAAGAAGAAGAAATCTGTCTCCATTATGACTATGTGTTGTTATTTTCTGTACCCAGCATTTTTTGTTTCCCTAAATTTTGATGACAGGAGAGATGCCAATGGCAGGAAAAATCAGCGGCAGTAGAGACAAACCAAGAGAAATGCACTGGATGTTCTAAGATGTTAACATCAAAGAATATCATCAACAGAACTGACAGAGAAAACCAAGCTCTGTGATCAGTGGAGAGAATAGAATGCCAATGACATTTGGCAAGGACATACGATGATGACACATACTATCTCTTTCAATATTTTTTGCTATTCCTGGTTTGTTTGATTTTCAGTAATTCCTTTTCTAGAATTACCCCCCCCCCCTTTCCGTGTTCTATACACGAGCATTTAAACAAAGTCAATTCTGTCAGCCAACTGCTTCTGTACAGTGCAGGTTTGCAGACTATCCAATGAGAGGCAGAGCGGCTGACACTGAAAGGTTAACGTTGATACTGACCATGACCTCTCTTTATCTTCACAAGGGTCATCCTGGGCACACACGCTAGTCTGGCCAACAAAGGGATAAAGTGCCCTCATGATCACCACTAGGATGATGCCAGTCAAGGACTCAAAACTTTCCATGCAACAATTCTGAAAGTCACCATTTGATATGATGGTAGACAATAAGATGACAAGTCTTGCAAACATCTGACAGAAAGCTCATCAACAAGCAGGCAATGTGTGTGTACTGAGATAAGAACAAGTGCCCAGTTCTTCCAAAAAAAAAGAGTGAAGCACTCAAATCCATGAGGTCCTACATAAAAATACCATCCAAAACAGTAGATAGCCCGTACCTGGTATGTAACAACTCTCAGCTGCCATCTAATTCACCTGCCAATCCACCTGTGAGTCCACCAAAATCTCAAGTACAAAGTCTACTTAAAGCATTTGCTCCTATAACAAGCTGCACTCCCTAGTGACAATTACCTGGTGCTAACTCCCAACTCTCCTCCAAGTCCAATGCTGATGACATGTCCCTGACCCACCAGTGTCAGCAAGACTGTGAACTGTGTGCTGTCTGTTAAATAACTGTTAACAAGTCTCCTGTCATGAAGCTATGTCACTCCTCCTTCCGTGCTGTCTGTTAAATCACTGTTAACAGGTCTCCTGTCATGAAGCTATGTCACTCCTCCTCCTTCCGTGTCCCTGTCTGTGTGAATAGTGTGCATGTGTGGACTGACTGCCTATCAAGCTAGAGATCTCTTGGTTGCCAAGTCTGTGAAGACCAACTCAACTTGTCCGCAGCTTTAGCCCAAGTAGACCATGGTCTTACAACGCCCACTCTGAAAACCACAAACGACAGCACTATACTCCCAGAGGAGTTCATGAGAGGAGAAGCAACAGCAGTAGCAAGGGGGAGGAAAAATATAGCACAAATAGGAGATATATGTTAGCAGCAGTTAGAGTAGCAGTAGCCGTTAAAAAAAAAATCACTGTAAAATAATCATAGGAAGGAATATAATTATGTAAAATAATCAGAGGAAATAAACAAAGAAACAAGCAAAGAGAATGGCCAATTCAAATCATTGCCATGTTTGAATAATCAAAGTGAATGGAACAAACAAAACAAGCATGCACTAACTGCTCAAAGACCAGTCTTCTAAAATTCTAATTTTAAGAAGCCAAATGTCTGAACTCAGAAAATTTAATATGACAACATAAGACAGAAAGGGCATTATTAACAAACTGGGTGGAATGGGTCAATGTAGTAGCAGTAGTAATGTAAACAATATCCTGTTTAACATAACCAGGTTATAATTGGGATATATACACATAGATATTTTTCTATTTCTTCTTTTCTCTACTACTGGAATGCCTTGTGGCGTCACGGCAGGAAGAGATCTCTGAAACAGGCACTTCCGTTCACTTCGTATATAGTACTTTACAGTGTCTCTGATATTTCTGCGGTCCATGTTCTGCGTGGTCGACCTCTGGCTCTGTTACCGCTGTATCTGTATAACATTGCTCTGTGTGGTGCCCTGTCTGATGCCAGTCTTGTTACATGGCCAAACCATTTGCTCTGTTGTCCACCTATACAATTCAGTATTGGTTCCTAAAAGGATCTTTCCTCGTTACACCTATCATTCTATCTCAATAACGGATATTTATGCCTAATAATTATTTTTGGTTACTCAATACTGAACAGCTTATTATAACTGCAGAAGTATCAATTGCTATATTTGTACATAAATTTAATAACCGATTGTCATAGTAGAAAGTTCAACCTAACTGAATTACCCAATAAATGCAGGGTGAGTTACTTCATACTGAAAGAGTTAAATGTCATCAAAAAAAGTAACAAACATTTCTGTTAATGATTCATTTCATCAAAATATAACAAATGAACACCTGCTGGTCTGCAGATAAAAACACTGGTGATCATAAGAAACACAACCTTGGAGTGGGGGATCTTCTCAGGTGAACAAACATCAAGAACAACTATGAGATTGTTCTTTCTAACAGATGTTCTAATCATTCTCAGGTGAACAAACATCAAGAACGACTACGAGATTGTTCTTTCTAACAGGTGTTTTAATAAATCTCAGGTGAACAAACATCAAGAACAACTACGAGATTGTTCTAACAGATGTTCTAATCATAATAGGCCGTTAATGTAAGGACTAGCCAGTGGGCGCTGCAGAATCAGAAGTTCAACAAATGACTCGTGACATTCTCATCCTGGCGATGTGATTATCTATATTGATGACTCTATACTGATGTCTGGAGAGGCAGAAGAATTGCACTGTGGTTCATAGCAAAAATGAATGGACCTCACTTAGTGCAACAAAGCCTGCATATGATACCACAACATCTAGTTTAAGAATGGAGGTGGAGGCAGTCACTGCAGCCTCCCACCGGCTTGAGAACCAGGTGTATTTGAATGCTGTAACTGTAAGTGACTCACAAAGCATGATGAGAAAGCTGGAGACAGGTATGGTCCGTGCAGAGTGGCTAGCAATGCTTCAAAGGTCACATGTAGTTAGCATCTTGTAGATATTTTCCCAGGTCTTTCATAACTCCAGCAGTGATTATACATGTTCTCATATAATAAAAAAGGTTTTATTTTTGTTTAAACTTGATTTTTCAGATGTATAGAAAATTTATGGACCACGGTTTACTTGTAATATGTGGTCAAGCTTTTTGGGTATTTATCTGACCCCATCAAGTTTAGAACTGACAGATGATAAAGCAACACTAAAGCCTGATAAAAAAAAATGTTTAATGAGTGAAGAAAGTGCAACATATAACAACTATACCTGACATCAGGTCTGGCACTGTTGTCACTGATGAAGGCATCTGTTCTGAAACATCATACATTTTTTCTGATAATGCTGTACATTCCACTAAACTGTCTTGCTGCCTGGTTGTATTGCTGTTTTTCTCCTTTTTGTGTTTTGGCTGTTTGGGTTTTCTGTCTTTCACAGCCAAAACAGGTTTTTTATTTGGCTTATCACAGGAGGTCCCCACAGGTCTTCCGCTTCCGCTTGGAGGCCTGTAACAGAAACAATAGGGGGCTGCAGATTCTGTTCCTTATTAAATAAATGCTTGAATTATCTTCTTCGGGAATAGATCCGACCCACTTACCCTTGTGGTTCTGGGGCCCGCTAACAAGTATGTCGTAAGAGTCTACTAATCTTTGGCGTTTCATCCAGAGTACATATACCAATAGTCTGCATACAAATAAACCAGATCTGTAGACTGGGTGTGCATACATACAGAACTCAAGTCCAGGAAGTGGGAATGAACTAGAATAAGTTCACTCAATGCAAAGAAAAAGAAGAAGATCAAGTCCAGAAGTGGATGAACAACCAGAACTTTCCATCACAGTTCACTGCTGGTGAATGCAAAGAAAAAGAAGATGATGATGAAGTCCAGAAGTGGATGAACAACCAGAAAGACTAACAACATGCATGTCATGTATAGAATGACTCATATACCAGCCCACAGTACTATGAGATGAGGCAACCAGTTCCGAACCTTTTCCCAGAAGGTAATGCTTGTAGTAATAACACAATGCTGGTCACATGACACCCAGTAATGCCCTGGAAAGGAAAGTCGACCCAATATCCACTGCAAACTGGTTTATAAAACTATAGTTCTAGCACGTCTGGTGTACCAAAGATGAGGACAGGGTCAATTTTGTAGTCTGTCTAAGTTACTGTGGTCAGGTAAACTGACACCACACACTTCAACAACTGCCAATGAAAACAACAAATCTCCCCCCGCCCCTTTAAAGAAAAAAGTGTGTTCAAGGTCAATAATCAAGGCTTATGACCTCTGGATAAACAATTTATTGTCAACATTGAATCCGCTTAGTCTCTTACTGCCTTATTTACCAATCACATTCTTAGATCGGTATAGGTGGGGGGAGGGGGAGGCAATAACCTGCTGATGACTTAGAGCCACATGGCTTTTGTGGCTATGTGAACTAGAGGTTAGCGAATGCATTAAAGAATTTCACAACTCTTGAGCTTCAATTTCTGCATCAGATAGTGGTAAAAGAGAGAGCTGCACACAGGAAGAGATTTAGTGCTGACTATAATGTTCCCAACACTGCAGTGGTGCAATGCAGAAAACCTACACTATGAAGAATTCCTGCAGATGTTGTGGTCTGTTGCCCTGGACAGGAAAATCCTACCACCTTTGAGGATTTGAACCTGGGTCTGACAAATGAGAGCAAATGCTGCATGTTTATAGAAGCAATGAAACTGTGTCCATGGCCTAAATGGGCGAGCTGTCTGCCTTGCACTCTGAAGGTCGCAAGTTCATTTCACTGCCGCATCACTCGTTTCACAGGTGCAATTTTTAGAGAGAACTTGAGCTACAGAGTTCACGCTTTGTGTGATGCTCTAGGCTGGCTGTTCTGCAGAGAGAGGTCGTCAAACAGGGTAAAATGCAGTACAATGATTCTCTCAACTTTGACCTTTTAACATGAAAATGTGTCACACTTAGTAAGGTTATACCTGTTTACCTGTGTTCAGTGCAAGCTGGGATGTGTTTTGATGAGTAGATGACTGGTCCTGTGGATCCAGCTGGGTCTTGTGTGGGTCTGTACATGATGCTGCTGCCTGGGGAGGTGTGGGTGATGGCAGAGGAGGCGTCAATCTGCTGCTGCAGACGATGGGTTGAGGAATCAGCTGCCAGTGGGAGGGTGCAACAAGAGAAGGGGATATCTGGGGAGGCTGCCAGTTTGAAGAAGTGCTGGACTGGCCCTGAGGGCATGAGTTTGAGTCTGAGACAGTATAAATCTCCACATGATCATATCCACGCTGTTCAACATCCTTGGTACATGACTTCATCTCAATATGTTTTAAACTATAATAATTCATGGATCGGTGATGATCTTCCAAAAGTGCAGAAGAAGCCAGAAATGAAGAAGAATCTGATGAACCAGATAACCTAGCTAACTGATCCACACTAACTGTTCCAGCTGAACACAAAGCAGGTGAGTTTGAGTCCATTTGTGCCGACTGCTGCATAGACAAATTCTGTACATGTCTGAGGTTAGATTTTAGAGATGCCTGGTTGGAAGACTCATCAGACAATGAAAGACAGTGGGAGTTTTTTGTACTTGAAGAAGGATTGAGTATAATGCTCGAGTCAGTTGTGTCTGGGGGCTGACACCGATTGCCATTTCTTATATTCGGGGGAGTGACATGTTCACAACACGCAGTCCTTGTAGAAAAGATGTTTTTGGAAGCTTGGACGGCTGCTTCACTTACAGCCGCTGCAGATAGTTCTGATGTACATGAAGCTCCCACAGATTCCACATAATCTGACTGACCACTTCTTTTCACATCAAATACCTGTGCCATGTTTTGAGACCAAATCTCTTGACTAGATGCATCCACCGATGGAACATCAGGTAACACGGGACCTGGTGAAGCATGATTCGGCAGCACGGTTTCTCTGACACTGGTGTAGCGGGCAGTGCTCAGCTTGTTGCTGGTGGGAACATGACTTCTATAATCACTGGCAGAACAAACCCCAGATGATGCTTTTCTCCCCTGACGGTTCGATGTTGAAACGGACGACGGGATGGTGACTAGCCCCCCACTGTTATGCCCTCTGATTTTTATCACAACTGGGTTATGTCTAGAAGCCTGCACTGCCTTGTCACTCACAGCAGCTGCAGAGAGTTTGGATGTACCTAAAGAACACCCAGACTCCATATAATCTGACAGACCACTTCTTTTCACAACAAATTTTTCTGTCATGTTTTTGGACCAAATCTCTTCATTAGATGCATCCACCGATGGAACATCAGGTAACACCGGGCCCTCTCTACCATGCTGAACAAACTGTTCCACTGAGGACATACCAGAGTTTTCCCTACAAGGCTGAACTGATTGTACTCCTGCTGACTTAGACAAAGGGGCTCCTAGAGCTCTGTTCTGATCCTCTGTTACTGTAGCACCATAAGGTAAAGCTGAACATGAGCCACTAGTTCTGTCGCTCCTGGACTGTGTCAATGAAGGTGAGAATGATTGTGTTATTGCTAGCCTGCGTGATTGTGTCACTGCAGGGGTGAATGATTGTGTTATCGCTAGCGTGCATGATTGTGTCACTGCAGGGGTGAATGATTGTGCTGTAGCTTTATGTTCACCGAGATCATCAGAAGCTTTCACGTCTATTGACACAGGTGTGGTTTCGTTGGAGCCGATCTTTCAAACAGTATAGGTTTCTTAACAATGTCATTCGACTGATGTGAGGATTGTGTGGATGGAGCTGAATCCGCTCTCCCATGACCACATTGTGTGGTTTCCCCTGACCGTGACTGCTGGAGTCTGAAGTGGGCTTTCACTACCAGATGTTGGAGCAATGGATGGATTTGTAATTGGGCTGCTATTCAACTGTCCTCCCACATTTGTTACAGTGCTAACTGAGGTAATACATCCCACACTACGTGTTAATGTGGACACAGAAGCACCATGTTCTACAGCATGTGTAACTGCTGGAGTTAATGACGTATATGTACACATGTGAGGAGGTGAAGCACTGTGTCCCAAAATCTGTTCAACTATGCTACTGGGTGCTGAAAATTAACTCTGGAACCATCTGATTACCCTCCTTTAGCACTGTCATTGTCGGAATGAGCGAGCTGTTAAGCCCTAAAGTTGGGGTCACTATGTGATCAGTCTGATGTGTAGCCAGGCCCTCTGATGTGTATCTGATGCTCTCTGACACTGATGAAACAGTGGATGGTGCAAAAGGACTCGCACCACTCGGCCTTATAGCTTGTGTTCTTGTGGTGATGAAGGGTATAGGTTTCATGACATCTCCAAGATCAGAGCCCTGTAATTCGACCACTGCAGGAGCAATGGAGCATGAAACAACAAAGTTTCCATTACTGGAACAAGTGACTTCTTGTGCTGCACAAGTGGATCCTTGGGTTAAAACTGAGCTGCCACAATTTCCTATGGATTGTGATACAGGAGAAAAGGAAGGTGCAACAGTAACAGGGACCCCGTCCACTTTTATGGAAGTGGGAGTGGACGATGGAACTGTCTCAGGCACTGAGTCCATGAGATCTCTGCTTTGTGGCTCAATGTGGTCAGTTAATGAAGCTGAAGCTAGTCTCCCATGACTTAATGGTGCCTGAGAGACAATCAGAGGAGATACTAAACCTACCTCTTGGCTAGTCCCAGCTACTGTATCTGGTGGAGACATAGAGGATGGGATTATCACAGTACCTCCAGTTTGTAATCTTGTGGGACTGCATGATGGGGTTACAGACAAGTGCATGTGACCCTGTTCTGTAGTTTGTACTAATGTGGTTGACACAGTTACTCCTGGCTTCTCTGTGACAAGTTCGTTGCTGTACATTGGAGACATGATTAAACGTCCATGACCAAGTCCAACAGTTTGTGCTGGAGTTACAACAAAGTTTTCACTGCTACATGCCACTGTTTGTGACAATGGAGTAACAAAGTTTCCACTGCTACATGCCACTGTTTGTGACAATGGAGTAACAAAGTTTCCATTGCTATGTGCAATAGTTTGTGACAGTGAAGAAACATCTACTTCTGTTGCATTCCCAGCGCTATGTGCACCAGTTTGTGACAATACAGTAACAACAGGGTTGTAACCATTATTATTATATACCAAACCTGGAAACAATGAAGGAGTGGTTGATTTAACCAAGTTTCCATTATCATTTCCATTGGTTTGATTTGGACTGACAATCAAATTCCCATCATAATATCCACTGGTCTGTGCCAGATTCACAACCAAATTCTCATTACCATATCCGTTGGTCTGCATTGGATTCACAGTCAAATTTCCATTAGCATATCTGTTCATCTGCACTGGACTCACAGTCCAATACCCATGGCTTTGTGTCTGAGTTACAAGCTGTTCAGTTTGTGCTTGAGTTGCAACCAATCCCCCAGGAGTATGTCCAACAATGTGTGACAATGATACAGTTACAACTGGGTTGCCTACAGCTTGTGTTAGTGCTGGCGATGATGCAGACAATGATACGGCATCTCTAAACTTCTGCCTGTGCACTCGTGTGCCTGATGGTGCCGGTGATTGATTTAAACCTAGACCATGATTATTATCCTCCTTAGCTGCTAACAAGGGAGTCAATGAGAGGTGTTTGTTGCTCTGAAGTAAGCTCTGTGTTACAATGGAGTTGGATTTGGAACACTGAAGTAATGGATCTGATAACCCTGATGAAATTTGCATATCTGCTTCCTGAGGTAAGGTTTTTTCCTGAAGCGCCAACAAATCTGATGCAGCCTGACAAGTGCTGGCTGTGGTTTGTGGAAGCTGTAGCTGCTGACACACATTATATTTCCATTCTGATTGAGTCGTTGGTGGCATTTGATTCTGTACACACTTGGTTAGAGTTGAATCTTGCTGCTGGTTGTTGTCAGCTGAAACCTGGGACTGCGTAGGCAGTATATGACTTTGTTCGTCTGCAGAGAGATGTCCTTGAGGTGAACAGTGCCCTTCCTCAGTTGACTGTCCCGGAAGCTGTGTAATCTGGCTGTGCATCTGCTCATCTGTATCAAGATGTCCTTGAGGTGAACAGTGCCCTTCCTCAGTTAACTGTCCCGTAAACTGCTTCAGCAAGGACTCTTCAGTTACCCGTGGTTTAGCACCCTGGCTATTTGGCAACATGGGTGTTGCTATATTTACACAATCCTGTAACTGTAAAATCTGAGGAACACCACGTGGTGACGACAGTGTTACAGTCTGTGTGGAAGATGTAGCGGCTTTAGGCAGGCTTGTATTCTGAGACGGAATGAAACCAATATAAGGTCTATTTACAGTTTGTTGCCGTGGAACTCCACTAACATTATATGGATTTAGGTGGCTGATATTTTGTGGGTGGTTTAGTAAACTTATCAACGATGCCTTGCCAGTCTTCTGTGAAGATGCTGGTTTAAGTATCTTCACCTGCTGTTGATGTGTCTTTTGTGGATGAGAAGATTCAGTTGGTTTCCTAGGGGAACCATGTCCCAGATGAATCCCAGACACAAGCTTCCCTGCTGCCGCCTGTGCTGGGTTCAAGTCCTGACTATTTAAGCTGTTCTTCCCCAACTGCATACAATAAGCTGGTCTCCAAGCAGGAGAACCCAACAAATGACTAGGCCTATTTATAGCTCCTGGCATTCTGGGACCAGGTGTCTGTTTAGTATACATGACAGTCCCTGATGGAGCATTCCTTGGAGAAACATACCTGTGAGCCTGTGTTACATGCCCCTGAACACCCATAGGTGTTGCAATCACCCCATTAGGCTCCTTAGGACTCTGAATGGGCACATTAGGATGAACACTACCATCCTGTGCCTTTTCTACACGTTTTAATTTACCTGGCACTAAGTTATCACAAAACACATCTGTAAATACTTGGCACAGACTTTTCGAAGATTTCTGCACACTGTGCGACTGTGAATGTGAAGTTATTTGTGACAAACTGTGTGACTGTGAATGTGAAGATATTTGTGACAAACTATGCGACTGTGAATTTGAAGATTCTTGTGACAAACTGTGCGAATGTGAATGTGAAGATACTTGTGGCAAACATTGCAACTGTGGATTTGAAGATACTTGTGACAAACTGTGCGACTGTGAATTTGAAGATACTTGAAGCAAACACTGCGACTGTGAATTTGAAGATACTTGAAGCAAACTTTGCGAATGTGGATTTGAGGATACGTGTGACAAACAGTGGGCCTGTGGATATGAGGATGCTTGTGACAAACTGTGCGTGGATTTAGCTAATGCCCGGGGACGATACGAAGACAGTGAAACAAATCGTGGCGTCAACAACGAAGATGTGGAGCTGGTTGTCGACAGACCACTAGCAAGTGACTGCTTAGACTCTGATGCTAGACTCTGGCAGGTATCTGCACCGGAAGATGATAATGATTTCAGGAAAGCCTCTTGAAATGGGGATAAATTTGAAGGTGGATTTAACTTTTGAGAAAGATTCTGTGAAGATTCATATTTTTCTGTTGTCTGAACACATGTGGGCTTTGAATGGCTGTGTAACCAGTTTGCATATTTCAGTTCAAAATCTTCCACTTTCATCCTTTTCCTTTCAATGCCATCATTAATTTCTGTCATTTTCTTCTTTTTTGGTTTATGTCTGTCAGCTTCACAGTAAGTCTGTTTTGTTTGCTGGAATTCTAGTGTTGTGCATTGATCACCATCAGGTGCCATAACCATAACCTCCATGCTTGTCTTTGGGAAGTCTTCCTTTAATGGATGCCTTCTGGAATGTGCTGTACCAGAGCTGTTTGCCTCGATCTTTTTTCTGGAATGTCTGAAATTGATACAAATATTAGCAAGTGAAGAAGAGATTTTACAAACTTGTTCTTTTTAGTCTCGCCAGCTGTAAATTCTGGCTGCTCATCTACTTCTGGACTACAGTCTTCTTCCAGGACTTGCATTCTGCGTGCACAGCCATTTTACAGATGTGGCTTAACATCTATGCAGACTGTTACTTCCCAGCAACTCAGGCAGTACGCTCCTGCTTCAAAGGAAGCATCCCTAATGTGTCGCCTGTTACCACATGGTTATTAGGGAGGCAGTGGGTCTATTCTCCCAGCCCCCTCTCCCAAATGGGGTCCCTAGAACAAACATGGGGGGAGTTTACAAACTAGTCAACAAACAGGGACCAGACAGGGAAACACACACATGCTGTCTTGCAGGTCGACTGGACAGTCAAAGGCTAGGGGAAGCTGGAAAAAGCTTGTCAAAATCACATTTATATCACAGATATAATTTTTTTTTTAAAGGTGCAACTTAACTAGCTTTAATGTGAATGAAATTTCTCTGACGGAAAGGAATAAAGAAAAGAAGTATAGATATAACAGAATAGAAGAACAAGAATAAGACAGAAAATACAGGAAGAAAGAAATAGAAAGACACAAACTAGATACATGTGAACACAAGACAGAAAACGGTGTTTTGCAGATACCTGTTGTTAGATACCCTCTTTGCGTCCCGATGACCTTCAGGATGAGGTGCAATATCTTTGCCTTCCTTCCACAGAAGATATCGTTCCGGCTGATACTTCTGCACAAAGATGTCCATGGAGATTTTTACCCCATCTCGGCGGCAAACACACTAAATCCCAGATTTGAAACAAAACCATTAGAGACATACCAGAGGGGGAAACATCATTTTCACATACAATTCATCATTTTCACATACAATTCATCATTTTCACATACAATTCATCATTTTCACATACAATTCATCCTTTTCACATACAATTCACCATTTTCACATACAATTCATCATTTTCACATACAACTGATACACTGCTGGTTAGTGACTGGACAGAGTATATAGATATTTCAAGTTCTAGAAAAACTGAGAATTATAAGAAAGCTGATAGAAGAGATTCTTCAAAGTTTATCATTGTGGTCAAGGTTATTGACACATTGCACTTTGTAGAAAAATCCAGTGTAGGGAAAAGTTAAAAGCAAGCTAGAAAGACATAGACAGTGATACAACTGGGAAGATATTTCAAGAAACAACAGATCAAATGATTCAGCCATGTGTCAAGTCTACCACCACATAGTTAGAACAGAGAGCCCTGTCACTCAGATATAATGGAAGCAGAGCCAGAAGCGGACAACACAAGCGATGGATAGATGGAATATCTGAGGCCTTAAATACTAGCATCTACCTAACACATACCAAGGCTCACACCTGATGCCTTTTCAAAACCTGGCACTGGTAGAATGAGACTAGAGAAGAAGTAGAATAAGATATATCAAAGTGATTAAATAACAGAGTAGATGACAGCAAATCTTGGAGACATCACAATCAGCCTGACTGCTAGAGGTAATGACTGTCTAGGAATTTGACTGAGAGAACTGAATGAGAGGTTAACCGACTGAGGAGATAAAGGCTTCAGTTATGTGGTACACTGACCTGGCATCTTTTCCTTAATCATTATCCTTTTGTTTTATTTATATGTCACTTCAGGCTGAAATTTATTCTTTCATTCCAATTGAAGCCAAGTGCAAAAACTATTACAGTGGGAAAAGAACACTTAATTGCATAATTCTTGTCCCTATTTTACTTCATCCCTCAACTGGCATTCCCTAATGAGGTCCTTTACGTGATATTTTATATGAACCATTTGCTAAAAATCGACTGGTCTCAATTGCTTTTGATCATGAAGCCTAGATACCCAAAGTCTGTGACATTTTTAATTTCACTTGACTATAAACAAATATATACATCTTTTTCATGGGTGGATAGAGGCACTTTTTACTGCTGCAATCTCAGAATTGAGTAGGCAGCTGACTAATCTGACTGCTACAATTGGTTTCACTGACCTAGGGAAATGTTCATCTGTGACCTGTCTCTCTTTGTAGACATCAGACAGAAAGAGGGCTGGGAATGTGGGGGGTTGAGAGAAACAGAGAGGTCTAAAATGTAAAAAGAAAAATACATCTATCTCAATACCAATTACACCTGTACAATTTCTGGATTCAAATAAAAATGCGGCTTACCTGCAGACAGCGTTTTCCATATTCTATCCACCGTTCAGTGGCAAAGTTGGTGGATTCGGCACAATTGAAGCCATGGTTGTAACCAGAATGATAACCGTATGGGAATGTAATTATTATTTCTCCTGCCTCCTGGGTGGCCTGAAGGATTGGCAAACATCAACTGTTATAAATCCCTCTAATAAAATTACCCTTTTTTACTTGTCTTGATTAATAACATTTATAAAAATAACATAAAGTCCAGTACTGTAAATCACACACAGCATTTGCTGATTAAGTTTCTTGACTTGGAACACAAATCTGATGACTATTTTGGACACCAGCCTGACTTGGAACACAAAACTGATGACAATTTTGGACACCAGCCTGACTTGGAACACAAATCTGATGACAATTTTGGACACCAGCCTGACTTGGAACACAAATCTGATGACAATTTTGGACACCAGCGTGACTTGGAACACAAATCTGATGACAATTTTGGACACCAGCCTGACTTGGAACACAAATCTGATGACTATTTTGGACACCCGCCTGACTTGGAACACAAATCTGATGACAATTTTGGACACCCGCCTGACTTGGAACACAAATCTGATGACAATTTTGGACACCAGCGTGACTTGGAACACAAATCTGATGACAATTTTGGACACCAGCCTGACGTGGAACACAAATCTGATGACTATTCTGGACAACCAGAGTGGCCTGGAACACAAATCTGATGGGCACCAGCTGTAAACTGGCGGAAAGCTGTAGCTGTTCATCTACTTCTGGTCTTATTCCAGAAACTGACTTGCCATGTGCATATCCATTTTACAGATCTAGCTTATTTGTCCTGCAGACTGTTGGTTCTTCACCTCTCTGGCAGATACACTTAGGCTCTGGTTGACTTATAACATGCTTGTTAGGGGACAGTGGGTTTTATCCCCCCCCCCCCCCCCCCCCCCACAATGGGGCCATGGAACTCACATGGGAAGATCCAACAAACAATAGTGAAAGCTCTCATGAAAAAAAAAAAATTATATCAGTTTGTGAGTGTATCCTTTACAGGACACTGGAAAACCAACTTTTGGCTGTTTTTGTTTTTACCAGGCAATTTTTTGTTCTTTTCTTCTCCTGTTTCTTCTTTGCATTCACCGGCTGTAAACTCTGGTAGAAAAGCTCTGGTTGTTCATCCACTTCTGAACTATGGTCTTCCTTGTGTGGGTTCCGGGGCCCCATTGTGGGGAAAACAAGAACAGACCCACTGCCTCCCCAACAAGCAGGTTGTAAGAGTCGACTAATTGGGGACTTTCTTTGAAGTCAGAGTGCATCTGCCTGAGTGGCAAGGAACAATCAACTGCACATAAATCAGCCAGTAAAACGGATGCACATGCAAAACTCTGGCCCTGGTACAAAGCCAAAGTCCAAATGGACAATGAACAATAAGGACTTTCCACTGGAGACCACAGAAATCAACCAGTGAACAAAGAAGCATGCACATCCATTTTACCGATCTGACTTATTAGTATACAGACTGTTGGTTCTGGCAGATGCACTCTGACTTGGAAGGATATACCCCTTTCATAGTAAACATTTACATGCTTGTTAAGAGGGCAGCAGTTTTAATGAAATATAGCCCTGGAACCCACACAGGGAAATTTTATGTTCAGTGGTTTGCCAATGCTTTTGAAACAACTGGCTCTCGATACCAGTATCGAAATCAACGCAAAACAGTCTGCTGCCGAACTGCTTGCAGCTGGAATGAAACTGTATCTTAGAATTAACAATCATGTTTGCAAAAGCTAAGCTGCAGACAACCAACTGTCTAACTATCCAGGTTTTTACTTAGCATGTTCATGGAGTCATTGTGCACAGATCTGTAGCACTGAGATAATAACCAACAGGGGGCCACTAACACAAGCTTGACTGTAAGATTACTGGTTGATGAGCTGTCGTGGTAGCACACTGGGGCCCATGAACTATGGGGAAAACAATGACAATGTAGTATGTAGTTATGAATGAATGGAATCAGAAACCAACCTTATGGACAGGAATGGAATACTTCTTGAGGATTGATGGTGATATGAGTGACATTTTGTGGCGCAGGAAGGCAGGACATTCACTGAAACTACTAGGGAAGAAACCTGGAACAGAAGAGCAGAGATCTATTTGTTAGTCAATTACCTCTGAACTGTCATGGTTATCTGTCTTGGCTGTCTGAGAGATCATGATAACAATGGGTCTATCTATCTCAACTAAGCCTGAGATATAATAACAATGGGTCTATAGATATCAAATAAGCCTGAAAGATCATGATAACAATGGGTCTATCTATCTTAACTAAGCCTGAGAGATCATGATAACAATGGGTCTATCTATCTCAACTAAGCCTGAGAGATCATGATAACAATAGGTCTATCTATATCAAATAAGCCTGAGATATCATACCAATGGGTCTATCCATCTCAACCAAGCCTGAGATATAATAACAATGGGTCTATATATATAAAATAGGCCTGAAAGATCATGACAAGAATGGGTCTATCTTATCTCAAATAAGCCTGAAAGATCATGATAACAATGGGTCTATCTATTTCTCAACTAAGCCTGAGAGATCATGATAACAATGGGTCTATCTATTTCTCAACTAAGCCTGAGAGATCATGGTAACAATAAGTCTATCCATCTCAACTAAGCCTGAGAGATCATGATAACAATAAGTCTATCCATCTCAACTAAGCCTGAGAGATCATGATAACAATAAGTCTATCCATCTCAACTAAGCCTGAGAGATCATAACAATGGGTCTATCTATCTCAGCTAAGCCTGAGAGATCATAACAATGGGTCTATCTATCTCAGCTAAGCCTGAGAGATCATGATAACAATGGGTTTATCTATCTCAACTAAGCCTGAGAGATCATAACAATGGGTGTATCCATCTCAACTAAGCCTGAGAGATCATGATAACAATGGGTCTATCTATCTCAACTAAGCCTGAGAGATCATGATAACAATGGGTCTATCTATCTCAACTAAGCCTGAGAGATCATGATAACAATGGGTCTATCTATCTCAACTAAGCCTGAGAGATCATGATAACAATGGGTCTATCTATCTCAACTAAGCCTGAGAGATGATAACAATGGGTCTATCTATCTCAGCTAAGCCTGAGAGATCATAACAATGGGTCTATCTATCTCAACTAAGCCTGAGAGATCATGATAACAATGGCTCTATCTATCTCAACTAAGCCTGAGAGATGATAACAATGGGTCTATCTATCTCAACTAAGCCTGAGAGATCATAACAATGGGTCTATCTATCTCAACTAAGCCTGAGAGATCATAACAATGGGTCTATCTATCTCAACTAAGCCTGAGAGATGATAACAATGGCTCTATCTATCTTAACAAGAATGTCTCTAACGATACTGAGCTAACCAGGTCAACTGTTGTATATGAACTCACCCTGAGCCAGCCTCTCCAGCCGCTGCCCCTGCTCAGGAGGAACGGCATACCAAGACTTTGGAGCACCAAAATGCAAGTAATTAATACTGTAGAGATCCATGTCTTCTGTGTGCCAAGCAAACGTGGTCTTCCACATGCCAAAGTAGAGATATGCAGTACAGACCCCCTCGATGAGAATGCCTAAATCGTTCTTCACATGGTCCAGGATGGTGCCCAGACGGTTGATATTCCAGTGATCTTGGTCATCGTCTGTCAGAGATCCCGTGATGTCGGCTCCATAGATGGCAGCACTAAACGCAACATTCTTCCAGTATTTTCTCTCCAGGTCCTCATAATCATAATGCTTTGGTGTGCAATATCTGAAAGAAGAAATTTATTTTCAAAATCAAGATAAAATTATTTAAGGTCTCTTTACATACCAGTGACACTGCAGGCACAAAAGGCTAGACGCATATTTTTACAGACCAACTAGCCATTAAATAAGTGATGTGGTCAATATAACACCAGCCACCTTTACTTCCTACAACTGGCACCTATTTATTGTGTGGCTGACCTGGGAGCCAAGGTCAAGTCTGAACACAAAGCGACACCCTGCAGATTTGAACCCACGGTCTCCAGATCTGCAGGTGATTCTCTAGCTCTCCCATCTTACACAAGACTAAACAATTATGATGAAAACATATTTAATGATCTTTCTATTGTCACTATCTGTTTTGTGCAAGTAAGCACCACAGTTTAACAAATGATAGGTAGTTGAGCCAGGGTGCACTCAGCTGCTTTATATTCTGTGATGTTGGTGTTGATGTCTCAGGCTGTCAGTGACTCCCTTGATCCATCTCCATTTAGGTCTCCCTTTGCATCTGAGTGTTTTCATTTGTAAGTAGTATCTCAATATCTTGCTGCCGTCATCCAGGGGTTCCATCACACTCAGTGGCCAAGCCATGTCAGTCTTTGTGTCTCAAACAATTTATAGGCCCATATTGTTCAAACAGTTCTTCAAAACTCGCCCTTTTCTCGCTCGATATTTAGATGGTTAAATATCATATTTTACTCTCCCCATGCGGGCTCTTTCTCTCAGACAGCCTGAAAGTCTCTTTGTCTAACCAATTTTTCAGCCCTAGGTGCATACATATCCAATGGGTTTTCACTAGGTCTACTGTTGCGGCCTCTGCTTAGTTGTCCAGAAACAGCGCCAGCCGCAATGTTTTATCCAAACCACCATGACGTTTATAAACTAAACTTACAGGAGAGGATGCTGTGTATGAACCAATTCTCCTTGATGTTCAAACTGTGTAGGATGCTGATGTGTAGATATCACCTGCCTCCATTCAGTGTCCTTCCCTCTCTAGCTGCTGACTACTGATGTTTGTAGGTTTACCTGTTTATTATCTCTGCCCAGTCCTTTTGGCCTGCCCTGTGGGGGCCTACTCTCGTTCAACTCTTGTGTACACAACTTTTATTCTGCCCTGTGGCCTACTCCCATTCAACTCTTGTGTACACAACATTTGGTCTGCCATGTGGGGGGCCTACTCTCGTTCAACTCTTGTGTACACAACTTTTATTCTGCCCTGTGGCCTACTCCCATTCAACTCTTGTGTACACAACTTTTATTCTGCCCTGTGGCCTACTCCCATTCAACTCTTGTGTACACAACTTTTATTCTGCCCTGTGGCCTACTCCCATTCAACTCTTGTGTACACAACATTTGGTCTGCCATGTGGGGGGCCTACTCCCATTCAACTCTTGTGTACACAACTTTTGGTCTGCCCTGTGGGGGCCTACTCCCATTCAACTCTTGTGTACACAACTTTTGGTCTGCCATGTGGGGGCCTACTCCCATTCAACTCTTGTGTACACAACTTTTGGTCTGCCATGTGGGGGCCTACTCTCATTCAACTCTTGTGTACACAACATTTGGTCTGCCATGTGGGGGCCTACTCTCATTCAACTCTTGTGTACACAACATTTGGTCTGTCCTGTGGCCTACTCTCATTCAACTCTTGTATACATAACTGTTGCCTCTCAGTTATCCAGTATTCTCTCTATCTAGGTCTCTGGATACACAAGACCAGACTGGATATACTTATTCCTGAGCAAATACTCATGTTTCAAATATTGCTTTAATACCAAACTTGACACTGCTGCAGCAGACAGTACAAAACAGTTGGCCTCAATGACTCTTCTTACCTTGAGGAGTTTGCAAGTTTCTCAAACTCCTTGACATGCATGGCTTTTTTCTGTACGTTGTACTGTGTGTACAACCCCTGCTGGCCGGTGACTACTTGTTCAATCGGTGCAGGAATCATCAGGTCAAGATCATCATAACCTTTCTTTCGAGGCACCCATTCTTTGGGAGGAATGATCTGACAAATAAAGCAGTGGTAAAATGGTCATTGTGATCTCAGCGAAGAATCCACAGCAGGAGAAATTACTGGCACTCAACATTCCTTTATCTTGCTAGTTTTTCCTGAAATGTAAGATGGTGTACTGTGTCTGTGTGGCTTCTGTGGCTTAGAGGTTACTGAATGCATCTAACAATTTCATCATCCTCAGTTAGCGTGGTGGACGGTATTAAAAAAAAAAAAAAGAAAGTTATCATGGTTTTCAGAGTACAAGAGTTTTACCATGGAAGTGATCAGGGCCTCACCGTGTGATATTCCCAAATATAGAAGAAGGTAAGCTGTAGCCAGCCTCACTTTCGGAGATGGCACAGAAGAAAGTAATGTGTCCATGTATACTGTAGCTTTATTTGCTGCTAATCTTCCTACCAGGAAGGGGAACACATGTTTGAACTTCCCTTGAGACAGAAATTATTATTAAAATGACACAGATGTAGCTTCCCAGCCTGCTGAAGCCTACAAGGGCAATCTAGAAATTTCTGGGAAGTAAAGGCAACTAGTAAAAACTGACCATTAAATTACTGAAGACCAAACAGTCCTTAAAACTATAAAGCTAAAATAATTTACCCAAAACACCTTAAAGGCACGAAAATCTTTATCTATATTAATAAGAATCTTAATTTTCCGATGTTGTTAGCTCTAAACTCAGAAACTACTGCCTTTGACTCAAAGCGTGATTTTTCGTCATAAAATTGCACAAACCACAAACGACGTAGCTCCAGCAACGGTCAAACATTATTTGTTTTTTGCCCGCCCGGATTTATTTTTAATCGATTGGCCACCTTTGACTGTGTAACACTCATCTTCACATTATTCCTATATACTTTCATTTCCACGAAATGCTTGAGTATTTAGTAGCGTAGTTAGTTGTAAGCATTTCTCATTTTACTCGGGTGATAGGGGTTCGATTCCCCGCAGGGTAATATATTTTTTTTTGGGGGGGGGGGGGGGAACTGGGTGGCTGCCACGTTTGGTTGTGGTTTATAGCTAGGTTGCAATATCTACACTTTTTTATCGTTCGATTTTGGGGTTTACAGCTAGCCTGTGATGGTGGCAACGTGATGCTCAATGTTCATGTCACGGATAATATTCGTTCGACCTTGAGAGGGCGGTTGGCACGTTTGTGATTTACAGCTAGGCTGCGATATCTGACCTAAAGTCTTCAGTCTTCGGTAGTAGAGTTGTAAGTATTCCACCCTTCACGCGGATGACTGGTGTTCGATTCCCCGCTGGGTGCTATTTGTCTTTTTTCCCCTCAAGGACAGATTGGCACGGTGTGTTGTGGTTTACAGCTAAGTTGCGACATCTGCGCCTTTCGCCCAAAGACATCCGATTTCAGTTAAGTCCCAATTAGCCTCACCCCGACGCTTCACTCGATCAAAAGCTATTCGTTGATGACAGAAACTGTTAACTAAGACGGCTTACATTCCAGTTTAGTTTGGGTGGACATGGATGCCAAGGTCAGTTAAAAATCCTTTCTTTGGAGAGGGAGAGATGGCGGGTGCGGGGTAGTTTTCTCCGCTATTCGTGAGTATAGTGTACTTTTTACTGTGGGTTTCCATCACTGGTTATGTGATGAAGTTTTTTTTTCTATGTCGGGGCAACATTAAACTAAATAGTCCGTGGCGACAGAATGCGGCGCTAACTCATCTTTTCTACACCGACCTACACAGACTGTAGTGACAGTTTTTGTTGTTGTTGATGTTGTGATGGTGGTGGTGGTAGTGGTTACAGTAGTACTGGTACTGGATGGGTGATGTGGTAGCTGTTACACTGGCCACATTTACATCTCAGTACAAGTTTATGCTACCTATTTAAGTCTGGGTGGACACGGATGTCAAGCTCAATTAGTTACAATATTTTGTTACACTGTGACTTTCCCATCCTTCAGAAGGATGATATGATTGGGACGGGGGGGGGGGGGGGTGGGGGGGGTGGGCCGAGGGGACGGGGGGGGGGGGGGGGGGGGGGGGGGGAGGGGGGGTGTCAGGGGGGGGGGTTGCATAGCTGAGAGAGCTTAAAATATTATTTTAAAGTTCTCATTTCTTAAAACTATTTCTATTTTAATAAATTTGCCATGGGTGATTTTTCAATCCTTCAGAGAGGGACATATGATTGGTGGAGGGAAAAAGGGGGGGGGGGGGGGTTTATGCCAGACACAGTTAGCTGAGAGAGCTTTAAAATATTATTTTAAAGTTCTCATTTCTTAACTATTTCTATTTTAATAATTTTGCCATGGGTGATTTTTCAATCCTTCGGAGAGGAAGATAGGATTGGGGGAGGGGAGAAGGGGGGTTTATGCCAGACACAGTTAGCTGAGAGAGCTTAAAATATTATTTTAAAGTTTTCTTTCTTAACTATTTCTATTTAAATAATTTCGCCAGGTAATGATTTTTCAATCCTTCGGAGTGGGAGATATGATTTGTGGAAAAAAAGGGGAAGGGGGGGGGGGGGGGGGGGGGGTTTATGCCAGGCACAGTTAGCTGAGAGAGCTTAAAATATTATTGTAAAGTTCTCATTTCTTAACTATTTCGATGTAAGCCACTCTACGTGTAGGACACCCGTTTCAATTTTCCTAAACATGTTTTGTGAGTCCATTTCAATTATCACTGTGCTGCTCCCCGGACATAAAAAAAAGCTGCCATTGCTGCCTCCACCTCCATTCTGATACAGAATGTTGTGACATTATACGTGAGGCTTTCTGTTTCCAAACAGTGTCCATTCACCTTGCAATAAAACCCACTCACTATTTCTACCGCTCACAACCTATCCATGTGTGTATATAATGTCTCAGTTAACTCAAACAAAATTGTGGTCCCAGCAGGCATGTAATATTGTCATTAGTCCCTGATTAGCCCAATTCCCCCCCCCCCCTCCACAACCACAATTTTCGAGCCTTTGGAATTTGTGTTAACAAGGTTTCACTGTATTATTACAGAAACTGTATACATAGTTGGGACAAGAACACAAACCTGACCAGTCAGTCTAGTGACTCTGCTTATGGGCATGGCATATGACGACACACACAAGTCTCTCTTCTTTTTCCCAAATCAGCTGTAAACTCTGGTGGAAAGTTCTGAGTGTTCGTCCACTTCCAAACTTTGATCTTGTTCCAAAAGCTGAGAGTTGCATGCACATATGCATGCACATCTGTTCAACACATCTGGCTCATCTATATGCAGACTCTTGGTTCCTTGCCTTACAGACAGATAGATGTACTCTGAAGGATAAACAGTTTTAGTAACTGCCACTACTGCATGTATTGACCAATTCTGCTGTGTAGGCAGGGAGATCTTTGATTTAGGGTTGCATGGCTAGTACTGTCGCCACGGACTACAGAATAGGATTTCATTTTCGCCCCAGTAAAGGTAACAAGGTTCTGAAACTATCACAATGTATACATTGCAAATCTCACCTTGGCAATTCCCATTTTATGAGCTCCTTTGGACTCGATGTACTGAATGTACTGCTTGAAATCTTTGAACTCCTCAAACGTTGGACGGAATACCATAATGCCATCAGGCCCGCCCGATGCTGGTGATGTCATTGTGACCACGTCTGGCTGTCCTGTCAGTGGATGTCAAACTAAGTGAGTACGAACAAGTAATCACATTAATATTTTAATATGGAATATTAAGGAACTACAGGAAAACCAACAATTAAATTCAGAATTTGTTTGAATCGTCCCTAATTACTGGCAACATGAGGGCTAATAGGCTACAATGGCTGGGGCATATAGAGAGAATAGCAGATGACACAGAGACAAAAACTATGTATGCAAAAGAGCTGAATAAGACTAGGCAAGACAAACAGACCAAGAAAACTGTGGATAGACAAAATTCACTCAAACATTTGGTGTCACAAAATGGAAAGAGAAGGCAAAATGCAGAGATAAACGAAGAAAGGTATTATATGCAGCAATGAACCTTAAGGGCACGGAATGCTAAAGAAGAAGATATTAAGGAAACAGCTATTCTCCGAATAACGGTCCCAAATTATCGGGGCCGAAAATTTACCCTAACAGGGCCTCAGTCATGTGTTAATTGCGAACTTCCAGTGACTTAATTTGCACACTTCCGCCACCGCCGAAAGTATCCACTGCGTCGCTCATGAGGCATGGATTGGGGCTAAACTAGATGGCTGGGATTAACAAGCAGCAGCTACCGCATCTCCTGCAGCTTCCTTCATTTTATTTGCTTGTGAGTCCCAGCCATCTAGTTTAGCCGCTCATGCGGCATGGTGGATATTCTCGGCGGTGGCAGAAGTCGCCGGAAGTGTGCAATTGAAGTCCCCGGAAGTCTGAAATTGACACGTGACTGAGACCCTGTTAGGGTATATTTTCAGCCTTGATAATTTGGGACCGTTATTCAGAGGATAGCCAAGGAAACTGTTAGACAGTGTAGTTGTACATTAAACAGTACCAAGATTATTCACTAACTGCATAACACTGAAATGTAACAACAATACTAAATAAGTTCTTAGGAGACAAAATATATTAACTTTCTACATCCGGATCTGCAAAACATTTTCATTCTTCCTGATAAAATCCAATGAAAACATTGCTACATTCTAAACGTACTGTATGAATATACAGAGAGTGGAAGTTCTCAAAAACCCTTCTCCCCCACTAAATGTGGGGACATATCAGATAGGATTCTCTTTTTGTGTTACATAATTAGGTTGCAGTTACTTCACTATTACATGACTGGTATAAGCTTATAAATTCATTTATATTACAGCATATAAAGTGTAAAAAGGTTGTATAATAATACATGTGGAATCTAGGTGCTGAAACATGCGGGTTCAGCCTGAACTTCAGGCACTATGGGACACCCCACACCCAATAACTGAAATAGCTGTGTAACTTTCCCAGATTACAGAGTGTGAAAATGAGGCCAACATGTGTATTATTCTACGCATTCAAGATGAAGCATTAAAGTGAGATTTTTTTTTCAATCCAATTCTTCAGAAGACTTAAATTTGGGAATGTTTCGGAAATAATTCATTAATGTTGACGACAGGGTCGGGCCTTGTTTAATAGCAGAATAATAACAGTGACACTAATAACAACATTTATTATTATTATTAACATTGTAGATTTTAACAAGGATTAGGCCCTTTGTCATTTCTCATGTTTTTCTTACAGTGGTATGAGAGTCGCACCATAATATTCCCAAAGTAGGCAGCTAGCACTGCAGCTTACCCCCAGTGTGAAGATGTTAGTTTTACATGCAAAATTTGAACACCCCCCCCCCCCCCCCCCTACGTGAACATTACTTGGGAGTAGGGCAGAGAAGGCCTCAAAGGATTTAAGCTTTGTCTAACTGTACAAAATTATTATTATTATGTTGCAGTCACCAGGTAGATTATTACATTCATTTGTCATTCAACACATTATTATTATGCTATATGGGAAATGAACATAAAATATTATACTTGAAATTATATGAAATGTATAATAAATAATATTTATACTTTTAAAGAGACTTTACATAAATTGTTTGGGAATGGGGGAGGGGAGGGGTGGGCTTTCAGTGGCCTTACAAAAATGGTAGCCTAAAGGACCCGAGGCTATGCTAGTACTAGTAGTACTGTACTAGTACTAGTAGTAGCAGCAGTAGTAATAGTAGTAGTACTAGTAGTAGCAGCAGTAGTAATAGTAGTAGTAGTAGTTGAAACATTGATTTAATTGAAGATGAGGTTCGTGATGTCACAAAGACATTCAACACAATTAGTAATTGAATTACCAAATAGGCACCAAAGAAATAAAATAACTTCGATTTTCTTCTTCTCTAAATTGCAGTTTGTTGAAAAATGTTGCCCCCATTAATAGAGGAACTAACCATAGCTCCCGTGTGAGTGTGTTCTCTGATAAACATCATGATCACCTACCTAAAGCCTAAAAAAGGCTACATATAATATCTTAAATCTACTTGATGGTTTTATATGTGACAGCCAAAACCAAGAAGACACCAAATATCAGGTAAGCTATTCTGCATTCAGCACACATTGCCCCCAACATTTTCACAGAATACACAGAGAATCACCAATAAAGCACTGATAAAAGTGAAACAGTCCCTACCCGAACAACTGTGCTACGTGCAGTTCTTCATACCCCCGGTTTAGTTTTACAACCTGACGCTGTTAGTTACTAACGAGGCCGATTTAAACGTGTCCTCATTGTCCAATTGTCAATTAGCCATTAGCTTGTTTCAGTTTCGCACTTATCTGACTCCGCTGAATACTTTGCATATATTATTTGCGAACACATCATTCTCCTCTTTTAGGGGAATGATGTTCTTCTTCTTTCCTTCGCCAGGTCGATATTCACGATGAACCAGAAATCTAAATGATACATTCACACACACAAATTGACAAGACACACAACCAGGGTCTTACTTGGTTTAAAAAATCTGCTCCGGCTAATGATATTCTGAATGCGACAGCCATTTAAGCACAAGCTTTAGTAGCAATCGAACAGGCACATGTTCATTTTTTGAAGATAAAAGGGCGACGAGGGACAAGAAACTAATCCATAAAGTCCGGCAATATAAAAAGTTACAAACAACAAATTCTCAACCAGACGACATCTCGTAGTACCAGACAACACATCTTCAATATATTACTCCTCTCCGACAAGTAATCCCCACACTATATTAATAAAATCTATAAGCTACTAGAAATTTTCTGCATATACCATTATTATTTATAGGTTTTAACAAATAGCATCATATTCAAAAGTGGAAGTTAATGTTTAAACTTTAAATACAATCGCATGTCGACAGGATTCGAGTGCGAACGAATACACAGTGTCCCGTTGTGATTGGTCATGGCAGAAACCAGGCCCGGTGGTTGTAAAATATTCTAATCAGTTTCAACTTTTCAGCTTAACTCTTTATCCCCACAAGTAAATTTAAACTGTAATAACTATCAAATTAAGCCTTCCTACCAGGGGTTAAAGCCACCTAGGGGGCTACCAAATTAGGGAAGCGCTTCTTCAACAAATAAATTTGATATTAGCATAAGCAGCTCGACGTAACCATATTTAGAAATTATCAGTACAAGTATATGTTTATACATTTCATATTATTTCAAATACATTGTTATATTTTAACTGCCAGAACGGTGTTATTATTGTCATCTTAACTCTTTGAGTCCCAAAACAACGCACGGTGTATCTTTTCTTCTTCTCTTGTCATTTACCGCCTGTAAACTCCAGCAGAAAGTTTGGGTTGTTCGACCAACTCTGGACTTTAGTCTTGTTCCAGAGCCTGAGCGCTGCGTGCACATACAGTTTACAGATCTAGCTTATTTGTGTGCAGACTGTTGGTTTCTTGTCTCTCAAGCAGATGCACTCCGACTTCGAAGAAAGCACCCAGTTAGTTTACTCTTACGACATACCTGTAGGGGAGGCAGTGGGTCTATTCTTGTTTCCCACAGTATGCAGGATATGTGAATCACTCTGAATGCTGAATCCCCTCCCTAGCTCCATACATGCTCTTACTTTTTGTATTTGGTCAGAACACATTCACGAAATTGAGCTTGTAGTGGTAGTTTTTCAAAAAATATCCTGTTCAGCCCGTAGGATTATAATTAGGATATATAGTTCCATCGAGTTCTCGGAGTATATATTTGTTATTGTATATTTATTTATCGTGCAATTATTTTTATGACCAATATGTACTTTTTATTGTTATATGTATTGCTACTGCAGATGCATTTTAATAACGGATATGTCGTCATTGGCATCGCCTACCAAACCTTCTTCTGGCACTAAAAGAGTTGAACATAGAATTAGTCCCATTAAGCTCCCGTTGCCAAGAAAATATGTGGTGTGTGTGTGTGTGTGTGTGTGTGTATGTATGGGGAGGGGAAACTAAACCTTCCCCCCTCCCTACCACCACCACCATGTTTTTCTGTGTCAGCGCACCTGATTCTTTCCCTAGTAAATACTCACTTATTGCTATCAATTTAACTCTTCATTGACTCCAGTCAGTTGTAAAACTATATTATAATCAGTGTGTTTCTTCTTCCACAACCCTTCCTACTAGGTTTGCAGTGTGTTCCTGTTTCATCAGTTGTGGTCAAATTGCATGTAGTCGTTGATGTGTTGTTTATTGCAACAGACCATCAATCGGAACCCATATGATAGAATCTAGTCTAGCGCCTCTGGTCTCACTTAACAACTTTGTCTTAAAGTTTTTTGTTTTCATCATCATCTCGATCAATTTGTTTCTTATTTAAGTGCGTGTTTGATGATTCTTTGTTCACTCTTCAGAAGATCTTCCCAAGAAATAGCCAGATTCTTTGTTGATGCACACTGTTGCCCGTACATGTTATAGATTGTATATACTGTAACATGGTATATTGATAATATACTATAGATTGTAATTTAATTTATTTTAAGTGACATTTAAAAAAAGGTGATAAAGACTGTGCAATTATTCCTTGGAGGTTTTTAACGTAAAACTGCTGCTGGAGAAGTCTGGCGATCTCTCTGGAAAACCTCTACACCGCAAGATAGAAGAAGGGCGACTAATTCATTAA